ACTGAAACTTCAAATTTTGTTTTTGAAGTGAGTGCTCTAAAGAACTGAAACTAATACAATTTTCACCACTCCTGCTTTCCTCTGGCCTTGCTTTCCAAGCCATTGACTTCCCAGCAGTTTTCATCCAAATCAAATTGTACACAGTTCATTTTGGTTCCTTTACAATATTTCCTTCTTTCATCTCAAGATTTAAGTCTTTGCTCTTTTTGTTTTCCTCTTCCTGCCAGGCTTGTTTCATGTTTTCTCCCTCATTGAGACAAGGCAAATGGACTGACTTCTGCTCTGCTGTCAGTCTCTGTATTTTAAATAGTTGTACAACATATTCAGAATATAGGCTGTTAGCTAACAAATTAAAGAGTTATACAATCCATCACAGTCAGATGGATGGTATAAATGTTTTTGTTAGTCAGAATCAGAAAATTCAACCTTCTACTTCAAGTCCAATCTCATAAATCTGATCTGCACCTCTATAGTCCTAGGCCAAGTTTTCAAAGTCACATCCAGTCCAATCTTTTAGGAAAAGGGCTGAGAGAAGATGACAAAGCAGGAACAAAACAGAAAATTTGAAATCACTCATATATGCAATAATAGGGCTTTAAATACCAGTGAAATTTATCTGCAAAAGATTATTCTAATGAAAAAAAAATATCACTAATATTAGCTTGTCTCTTGAAAAAATAACTCTTCCTCCTTACCTACATTATAATACTTTTCAGATCACTATGAACTTATTGCAGTACTTACAACTGCAGTTGCATGTTGGTTTTGTACAATCTTTTCACAGTAAGTTTTTTTAGCATAAAATAAGATAGAGCAGAAACTTTTAACTAGTTGTATTTGAGAAAAAGAAAAAAAATAAATGTTGGCCACACCAGCAGTAAGAGCAAAGGTGTCAGGAATGTAGTTTATTGTTAACCAATCTGTTTAAACTAGTGAATTCCAGGACATGCCAGAGGAAATTCCTCTTAAAATTAACACTTATTTATTTGCAAAATGGAAATTAAGGGCTTGCAACAGTAGTTATATTTTAATCAGCTTTTGTGTGAAAATATACATGAACAATATATTAAATTTACAGCAACTATATATCTTAGTGGCATACTTTTGTCCTCACTCTGTTAATGAGAAAACAGAGGTGCATTCTATGCAAGGCAGAAAGAATGAAAACACTCTATGACTTAAAATGGCATCAAGCTAATCTTGGCAGGGCTAGTGGTTCTGAGAACAAAAACACAACAGCTTTTCTTCTATTAAATTCAAACCGTGCACTCCATTGCAAAGCAAGAAAGGGAAAGAAACAGGTTCAAGAATTAAAGGTTTGCTGCCATGAGAAGTTACATAGTGTGCTGTTTTCTCTGTGACAGGAAAAAAGCACCAGAATATCAGACCACATTGTATCAGACCACAGTGCTTGTGTTGCTTGAGACACTGGTGAGTCACAGCACAAGTGTTTTGTCAGAACAGAAACTGAACAACAAAGCTGTTCAATTAGTCAAGATGCACACAGGAACCTGCACATTTTCTGTAAGATAAACATTCTTGAATCTTCAGTCAAGATAGGCAAATAGTGAAAATGTTTCTGGCAGTATTCAGATGACATTTTAAATGAACACTCTGGTTATGTTACACTGGGGTGTTTTTTTCTGTCACCAAGCTTTCTGTCACAAACAGATAATGAAGTTCAAATCACAACAGTTTTTCCTAAGTGAACCAAAGTATTTAACACATATGAATGTTGAGCTAAGACATTGCACACACAGCTTTTCAAGTGTTGCAGGAAAATCCTGTAGATATTCTGAGCAACCTACAGACCCTCAGCTGTAAATAAGCAGTGTAAGAGATGTACAAGTTTATTTATAAATAGTTTAAATACTAATAAACTGAAAGCATTATCTATAAGCAAATCAAGGAGCTGAAGTAATTATGCAGAACCCCTTATAAAGTTGGAAATGTTTGGTATGAAGAAGGAAGCAACTCGGTATGTCATTGTTGCCGTTTTTCCTGATTCCAGAATCTTACAGAAAAATATCAAAAAAACTGACTTATTTTAGAAGTTCTTTTATACTAGGTTTGCAATAGACTTTCAAAAAGTCAAAAGTGTATTTAAACAAATTTGGATTTCTTCACGTTCCATGTTTCAGAAGTGAGTAGCCAGTCTGCAATGAAGATTTCACAGAGATATTTAGTTTAGAATTTACTTGTGATCCTTTAAAATAAACAGCTATATTAATAGTTGCAGCTGAGCAAAACTTTTATCATGACATTCTCAACTTTAATATGAAAGTGGATCTCTAGAGGGCATAAAACAAATGTGATTCACCTTAGACTGATGCAGGATCATCAGCTGCCCCATTATCACCTCATTTTTGAATGAAGATCCTCCAGCAGAACTTCATTCCTTAGCATTTACATCACTGAACTCTTGGTGTATTCCTAAATCCAAGGTTTTGAGTTTTCAGAGTACCATAGCAACAAAGCTTTCTGACCTCCTTTTTCTTGCACATCTACTGGGATTTAACCTCTCTTTCTATCTTTTTAACCAGTTATTACAAAACTAAAATAGAAAAGCTTTTTTCTACATCCATTCTAACAAGCGGGTTCATAAAAACACCTGCAATATTTTTCCTTATTGAAGAGATAAGTGTTTCTAGAGAAAATTTTGGACATCTGGAAGTATTTTTTTGTGATAAAAGAACAGTGGAATGGCATTAAACAATAAAATTAAACAGTAAAAGAGAAAAGATGAACCAAATATCCCCAAGGTAATGATCATATTTATTTGAGCAGCAAAATAACTTGGACTTTTCATTTTTATTTGTTGACATGTAGGCTTGTACTAAAAGAATAAATAAGAGAAACCAGAATTAAATTGACATGTAGCCTTCATCATTCTCAACCTTTACCTATCTGTCCCTTTCTCTACTTAAGCTGTTTAAGATTTAAAGCATTTGAAGAGAGTATTTTTGTCTTTCTAAGCATTGCAGCAAACAGGAAGCAGAAACATAAATCTTTGTATGGTTCTGTGGATACTAGCTCAAAAGAATCAATAATGCAGACACTTTACTTGAAGATTTCTACAAATAAAATCTGTTTTTCAGCAATACTGTCTTACTTTGATTATTATGTACAACACTTTTTTCCACAAATCTGTTTCCTATCACATTAATGGAACATGATATATGAATTTAAAAAGTAATAAGTTAAAATTGTAAAAACATGATAGAAATCTCTTTTCTCAGTCCAAGAATCTTCCAATACATGTCACAATTCAAAAAGGGACAAATATAAATCTGGATTGTTTGTCTGAAGCCTCATGACCAATAGAATAAATAACCTCAGTGTAAAGCCTAGCCTGTCTTTATCTTGCTTTAAAAAGATATAGACAGTGAGATAAATGGACCATTAATAATGTTTTCTTTGGACTTTTATTTTATTGAAAATTACAGCAAAAAATATTTCATTTTGTAGTCCTTCTAATACTGGCAAAATGAACAAGAAGCTGAATTAACAGAATAGGAACAGAGTTGATAAGTCCTTACTGACATTGACAGCTGTGAAATGTTAACCCCACATGTGGCTACTAGAGCCCAAGTCCAGTATTTCTTAACCAACAGATAAATACATTTCTGGACAGGTCTTTCTCAGTCTTGCTTAACATATAAAGGGATATTAAAGACTGAAGGACACATTTAACACACCTGCCTTAAAATGGCTCTGAAAACTATGGTAGGGAAATATTCTCTGTGGATCCATGCAAAGACGAAGAGCTCTGGCAGGACACAGTGAGACCAAATAATTTTGCTTTGAAAGGTGGAAGGCTGAGCTGGGTCACCTTAGTGGTGAATGAGTTCCCTTGGAACGGACCTACAAGTTATATAAAGACTGCCTCCCACCGTGGGAATTTGGAGAGGTAAAATATACTACACCATAATTTCACAATTCCAATGATAGCCACATTCTGGGGCATATATCTTGTGCTTGTGTTCTCCTATACAGTATTTATTACCTACCATCTCTCATTTTCAAAGGGTTACTTATTATAATTATATATAATTATATATATATAGTGAGGTGCAGTCTCTCATGATATAAGGTTTTAACCAATAAAAATGGTGCCTTTTAAGTAAAGAATAATGCAGGTGAGTGTAGATGCCAACACTGGTTTTAGAAAGAAATGTGAATCATATTTGGTTTTAGCTTTTAAAAAAATATTTAAGCAAGCAAGAATACAATTATGATATCTTGGAATTTGCTCTGATTAGCAGTGGTCCTGCTCATCTGAAAAAGGGTGAGGGCTTCTTAGTGACTACAAGTTACCACAGCTATGGCTTTATATTCCAGCTGAGACAGCATTTCCAGAAGGGAATGTTGTCTCCTGCCATGCTGGAATTGTCTTCTATCAGCAGTTTCATAGACATAAGAGTGACACCTAGTGAATCATTAACACTTCCAACATTTTTTCTGGGGATGAAAATGGTGGGGAAGGAACCCTTATTAATCTCTCAACCAATACTTGGATAATCCTGTCAAAGATCTAATGAAATTTGAGCCTTAAGTAGTTGAACAGTATTACATGACAGGATTAAATATTAAAGAATTATATTAAGTGTGCCTGGTGTGTCTAATTTTTTAATTTTGAAAATGCATCGAGTAAAAGGATCTAATAAATTACAAGGCTGCTCTGAGAAAATAGAAACTGTTCATTCCTTTTCAATAACATTATTATATAAAGAAAGTGCAAGACCCAAATGATTTTCTTTTTCACATTAATTTTATCTTATTCAATAATTAAAAAAAATAAATCCCTTGGGTCTTACTAAACATTTAGGTTATCTTTATTTTCATGAAGCTACAATCAACACATTTTTACCATGAAAGACAATGAGGGCGACATTTCAATCCATCCTCATTCAAGCAATTTATGAGCTATTTTTTTGTAAGACTGACTGAAAAGAGACTGCAGTTCTTCCTCCATTTTTACAGACTTTATACGTTGTTTCATGAGTCTAGAAGTGCTTTAAGGTTTAAATGAACACAAAGTTCCTTTGCTATTAGTCCAACATCTTCAAAAAGTGTTGGCACTGAAATACTTTTGATATAATTCAATTTCTTTCACCTCTTTGCTGTTCAAAGAAAATGAGGAAGCCAAAATCCATATGCAGGCCAGAATGGTGTCCTGTATTTTCCATACCTACTGATTTTTAGCACTCAAAGATGGATGGATTTTATTGCAAGAATGTATCTCTTTTTCCAAGGCAATAAAGTTGTCTAACAAGTCGCAACAGAGAGCTGCATAACTTTATTAATTCATGTTATGAGGAAAGTAAATTTTCCACTTTTTAAATCAAAGGCATGCTTTAGTTGTAGTTCTGTGAATATTGTCACTTAAAAAATAGTACAGTTATCAGAATAAAGTACTACAGTCTTCCAGCAGTCTATGTGTTCAGCTTATGATGATGCTGTAATTACACGAAAATTCAGCAAAAGCACTAGGTTTCCACAGTGGGCCAGATACCAGCAAGTCAGGACACTATACCTATTGTAAAGCAGAACTTGCAATCAGGAGACAGTTTTGTGACACAAACTAAAAATTATCTATTGCTACAGACTGATGTTTATTATTCATATCAGTTAAAACCTATGATTCAGTTTTATTATGATTCATTCTATGCTGATTTGGATAAACTCTAAGTGGAATTTTCAAGATCTATTGGGATAAAAAAATGTTGACTAGATTTGTATGAACTTTAGTGTAAACAAAGCAGGAAACTTTTTCAGGAAATAATCTTTAGGATGTTGCATGTCCAGCCTAGTTGCAAGTCCAGGCAATCTTAGATATCAATGATAGCTGTCCTTTTGCCACTTTTTGAAAAGTGTGTATGTGCAGGGCAGGGATAGCAGTGTAGCCTTTTTTCCACCTCAAATAGTGATAATGCTCCATCTTCAGAGTTACAAAATGAGAGGTTGCAAAACCTCTTACCCCCAAAATAGAGAAGGCTTTTGACTCTAAATGACAGGACTTCAAAATTGTAGTTAGTTTCCAAAAGGCTCTGTACTGTATATCCAGGTTTCCCCAGATCTGGAGCTGGTCTTGAGTCTTTCCATGATTTCCATGTATGTGATTTACATAAATGTTATGTCATAACATAGTCTACAGCCTGTTACAATACTAACTGCTTACAAAAGACTCTAGCCTCACCAAAGGAGAAAAAAGAGGTTGACAGTAAACTTATAAATAAGTGTGTTGCTCAAAGGTATCACAGTAGAAACACCAGTTCAACCAGTTCAGAAACTGGGAGAACAAAAACACCCAGAAGAAATTTCCTAAGAAGGTTTTAATGTTGAAACCTTCAGAAACTTGTAACGTTATCACACAACTGATTCATATTCTTTGCAAAAGAGTAGATATTCAACACCCCAAAAAATACCAAATACAATTGTGTTTCAACAGGTAATCACTGACTTTTTAACGCTGGTATTCAGCCAATTCTTCACCTTTTGTTTTCATGATGATACATTTATTTCATTGTCCACAGACTAGATCTCATGAAAATTTTGACATGTATTTTTTAGACCGCACTGTGTCTCGTTTTTGAGAATGTGGCCCACAGCAGGACCAAGACCCCACCCACAGTAATTGTTTGTAGACATATCTGGCTTCAGCCAAGCTCTGGGCACTTGCAGAGCACGTAACCTTGGACATGATGTTGTGCAAACCCTGCAACCTGTTTCTTCAACACTCCTGCATCCTGCCTCACCAGCAGAACTGGAGTGTTTGCCCTTGTCCACAAGGCCTCTCACATGTGGCACGCCAGGATAATATTTGGTCCCTCGTGCTGGAATAGTCCCACTCATGATAGTTAAGATACGATAAAAGCTATGCCTGAAATCCTGCATCATGCCAGTACTTGGGTAAGACAGAGGCAGACACTTCTGTGCTCTTTAGAACCCCAAATTTGTTCTTGAAGGCAGAGGCAACTGTTATGTGAAATACCAAACAGTATTCACTGGTTTATTTTTTAAAAGTTAGTTCTATATTCATAAATTCCGTTGCATCTCTTATTCTTCGGACTTCTATGTATTTCTTCTATGTAATAATCTGACAGAAGTGGTTCTTCTCTTTGTGATTCTTGTCATCTGAAGTATCTGATTTCTTCTAACAGTTTTGCAAATAGAAATTTTCCTCTTCAAGCATTCTAAATACATGAGGAAAGAGAAACATAAAATTTTAATTTTAATTTTGTGTGGGCTTACTATAACTCTCATTAAAGTAGTTTCAACATTTATTTATTCATATTCCCAGAATCCTTATAAGTTAGACAAGTATTATAATTCATTCTATAGATGAAAAGCTTTGCTGCTGTCAAACAAGATAACTACTCACCCAGAAAAGTTTTACAGATTTATGAATGCAATCTGGACATCTTGCCTTGCAGCCAGGGCTTTCCTAGTGTCAAAAAAAAAAAAAAAAAGATAAAAGTATTTCTATGAAACAACAGGGGAGGTCCAGATGATTTCTCATTGTTTCTGTCTTCATTTAGAAGAATTAGGAACATATCTGCAGAAATCACCACATCTTGTTGGGACCTTATGTCCGTGCTGTATTTGTTTCGGGATGCTTTGCTTTGAACTGTATCCAGCCTGGTCCCATGCACTGAATGTTCTCAGCAGCTGGTATGCTTTAGATGTAATTTGGGAATGCACCTTCTGGCTTGTCTTACCCAAATGAAATTCAATTTTTCTGCTCTGAGTCATCCATGCAATAAGAACCAAAGCCCAGCAAATGGAAACTGCCAGGATATTTGCTTTAGTGTGCTCCATATTCTAGTAAAAATGCTGAAGAGGACATATCCTTTTTATTTGTTGTGCCAATTCAGCACTATATCTAGAGTGCTTTAGAGCAGCCTGACCTTGGAATGGCAAGAGGCTTTGGGAATTCCCGGTCTCCTCTCCCTGAGGTACAAGAAAGGCAGCTCCTGGATTTTGAGCACCAAACTGTGTGACTCTGCACTGGTGTTTCCAAGCTCTACAGGACCTGAATTTTAATATCTCCTTTCCACAGCAAAACAGCGTCAACTTGGCCTTCAGACTATATCCAGAAGGACTTATATAGGCAGTTATCAAATGCTGGTTAAAACAACTGTTACAAAGAAATGAGACCAAATCAAGCCAAATATTTAATTAAAATATCCTATAATTTGATAAATGTGTTGGATTAAAAGGATCTGCTACCCTTACAAAAGCCCCCCAAAAATGTAACACCCCCAATGTAAAAATGTAAAGATGTAAAGATGTAAAAATCCCAATCAAACCAAACCAAACCTCACCAAAATGAATTAAACAGAAAACCCAAACATACCCTCTGTCCCAAATCACCATTTTAATCTCTGGTGATTTGTAGGGCTTGTAAAAAATTAAGAACTTATTGTCACAATTAAAAAAAATAATCAGGACAATTTCATTTTGAAATTTATTTCTGTTTTATTTTAAAGGCACTTTAAAATAAATTTTTATTGCTTTGATTTTTCTTATCTTGCCATACCTGAAAATAAATACTTGAAATAGATATGTACATATGAATACTTATTACTGGAAAATCACAACTTTAATTTTAAATACCGTAACATAATAGCTATAGAATACTACAGTACTATAAATATTACTACAGTATCTTAGAAAATATTAACACAATACAACTGATTTCTGCAAAATTTAGGCAACAAGCAGTAGCATTCTTAATTTATGTAGATCCTATTTCTCTTAATATCATACCACATTCATGTCTAGATGTTCTATATTTCTACCATGCCTTAGATATGAAAGGTACTTTAAGAATTCTAGAAATATAAATGGGGGAAGTATTTTCTGATTGTTCTGACTCCATATTATCAGTCTGAGTCACACTCTGCAATGTGAAATTACTTTTATTATGACAATCTGTTGTCCCAGACATCACAGAGAAAAGAATGCAGAAATTCAGGATTCAGGATGCCTCATACCAAGCCATGCAAAATAAAAAAAAATTAATCAGTAGAAGTAAAATTTAAAAAAAATAAAAAAAACCCCAGCAAACATTAACAATTAAAATTAAATTAAATAAAAAAGGACCCCAGAGTGTTAACACAAGTTATATACAGAAGAAGGAAATATTTCTGTTAGGAAGGAGCAAATGAGAAGTCTATGAAGACACTGAAGCAGCAAAGCACTACTGTGGAGTGTGCACAGTACTATCTTAGTCTGCACTAATCCTGCTGAAACCCTTTAGAAAAAGTAAAGACAGAAGGTGAAGGGTGACATAATCCAGTAAAAAAATGATCTAATCAAGTTGAATAGAAAAAAATAACAGCAAAGTATGTAGTATGACAAAATAAGTCAATAACCTCAGCGTTGTCCCTGCAGTATTAACTCTCATCTATAGAGTCTGAGTTAGGTGGCAGCTCTGAAAAAGCCTGTGCTATTAGTTTTGACAAAAACCTGTCCAACCCAGACTCCAGGAGTCTTATCTAACTCATGTAGAGAAAGATCTGCTCTTTGGGGGTAGGCTTGGGAAGTGGTAAAAGAAAATGGATCTATTTTATCACTATTTATATAGCTCTTTAAATTTACTTGGGACTGTACAGTATGCTGTTATGACAGCCTCTGGCCAGGAAATCTTACAGTTAAACAGCATGAGCCTGAAACAATATGTTCAATTATGCAAATAAACACAGAGTGGCTCAAAGGGCCAGATGGTGTGAATCAGCCAAGGCTTACACACTTAAGTGGTACTCGGGCAATTTACAGGAGTTAAGAGTCTTCCCCAAGATCGGCTCAGATGGCAGGCCTTGCAGAACATCTGCATTTACAGCTGTTTTGTGAGAAGGGGATGAGAAGTCCCTGGGAGAAGGCTGTCCAGGCATCCAAGGAAGAACAAAAGAAATCATTAAAGTCAGAGGAAACAGTTCAATTAGTGGAGAGGAGAAGTTCATGTAGTGTGATTAGGCATGCATTTACAGTGACACTTAGTAACTTTAGATGAGCTAAATCACAGTTTCTTTGACAGGTGGTAGTCTATTTCAGAATCTTTTGGAAGAAAAAAAATAAATTGTCATATTTCTTATGATTCCTAGATTTTGTTTGGTTTTGTTTCCCTGGAATGTAAACAAACTTTTATCATCAAATGTTTGACTGCTGACATACTGCAGGGAAAATTAATAATAATTAATAATAATAATAAATAAATAATAATAATAAATAATAATAAATAATAATAAATAATAATAAATAAAAATAAAAATAAAAAAAAATAATAAAAGGGGCAAGCAACCAGACCTTTTTAAAAATTAAAGCCAACACTTGTTCTTGGACATGTGGATGCTCTTTCTTTTTCTGTTTGGAGATGCTCCCTACTATGCAGCAATGCCAGAAAGCACCCCAGTAGTTCACATGGGCACCCCCTGTGTGTGGACCCCTCATTTTCTCACCTGCACTGTTGGTCAGCTGCCTGGAATGATGCCCATAGGGGCTGGCGGGGAGGAAGTCCTGCCTGGCCTACAAAAGTTGAAATGGTGGTGGGGCCACTTTTGGCAGCACCAAGATTTGACCACTTCTGTGGCCACTTCAAGGTCTGTCTCCACTGCTAAAAAAAAAATCCAGGTTTCCTTTATTGCTCCTTTTCAAGCTGACTTTTTTTGTTTCCAAAGCCTCTTGGTGGTTCCCTAGTTAGTTTTTATTCTGTTTCATGATTATCTTGCTCTATGGCGTAACTTGTTTGGGACAAATGCCCCATTAGTTTTGTATATTTCATTCACACACACTGATATTCCCTCATCAATATTGATATTCCCTATGCCAACATAATTTTTTCAAGTATAGGCTACACAAGTACCTTCCCAGACTCTGTCCAGGAGGGACAGTTCATAGTCACCTGAATATAAGCTCCTAATGCAAGGCAGGAGCAAAAGGACTCAGCTGAATCTTGAATTTATAGGTAGCCACTATGGAAACATGAAGAAGTTATTTTTCATTTGGAGTAGTCCACAAACCTGTGTTCAGCTCTACACTGCATTCCAAATTCAAGAAAAGTGGTGGAAAAACCATTAGGTGTTCATATCTTAATGACAAGAATGACAATTGCATTGAAATGCATTTCCTGAAGGCAAAGATACTTGGAACTGCTTAAAGACTGATCTCAGAGTTTAAAGGTGTGTACAGAGGAAAAAGAAAATGTAGGAAATAAAGACTTCAGCAGCAGGAAGCTGAAACGAGACAAACTGAGATTGGAGGAAAGGTAAACGTTTCAGGTGAGTTTCACAATCCTTCCTCTTTAATCTTTTATTCTAAATAACTTGCCTTTTCTTTTATAATCCAAATTTAAGCATCAAAGTAAAACAATACCCTGAGAACTAAAAACCCACTCCAGAACACTGGATAGATAGATAGATAGATAGATAGATAGATAGATAGATAGATAGATAGATAGATAGATAGATAGAAAGTTTTCCATGGTACAAACATATGCACATAGTAGCTCAAATCAGAAATAAAATTATTACCTTGTGATATGGAAGTTCAGATGTTACATCTACAAGAGCTGGATGGAAAATGAAAATAAATTTTGCTGTGATAACATAATATAAAAAAAAAAAATCCCACTTAAGAAAAGTTAAACTTTAGTGCCTTCTTTTTCTTATTCAACGTGAAAGTTGTTGTACTTAGCAGCCTGTCATCCACAGACCTTAGAAAAGGAATTGCTAATTAGGAATATAGCTGGTGAATAGAAGTGTAATTACTTTAAGCCTCCCACAGAAATCCTCGTAACAGAAAAAAATTAAGAGTTAAAAGAAGCCCAGAAGAAAATATAAAGAATTGATAAATAAATGGAATATAGGCAGATTCAATTAAAAATATATTAATATTAAAGAACTGGAGTGCCTAGATTAATGTCACTCAATAGAGAGCAATTGGAGCTCTCTATTTTGGAGCAAATATACCTAAATACCTGTAGGTAGCAAAAAAGAAGTGGGAGGAAGAGAAGTGCTTGCTTTTTGTTCTGAAATCAACTCACTGAAGAACCTGGCTACAGGCCTGGCTGCCATCAAGCCTACATACCTCTTCAACATCAAGAAAGATTACCCACCTCTCTTTCTGAAAGATTAAAGTTTCAGAGTTGGAGGTGTAGGTTTTGTTTTCCATTTTAAATATTACTTTGATTAGTTTTCCTTTTCCACTTATTCTTCACAATTTACTCATGAAATTGCATTTATACATTATTTTAATTTGTGGGGAATTGAGTTCTTTTTAACAGGTGATGTGAACAAGGAATGCTGAGGCTCCTTAAGTAAAGAGCTGCTATGAGAAATAGACTGTGAAAGGGGGCAACCATCCTTTTACTCTGCTGATTAAAGGATGTGATTCTACTGAATACAGCCACGGGAATTCCACTTTTTCAAATAACTAAGTGCATGTTCTCTCAGACTCTTCACCCTTTGGACATTTTCTTACTTTCACAACATGAGAGTTTAATCTTTTACTCTTCCATTCAATATAAGGAAGACAAATTGTGAAATATTTGCTATGATTAAATCAGTCATTTCCCAGCCCACTTTGTGCCAGTGTTAACTAAAAGTCTACCTTTGTCCTTAGCATGAGCAAAGAAGAAGATTAAACATAATTTAAAAAACCAAACAAGCAATCAAATAAACTGGAAGTTTTAAATGTGGCATTAAAAACAGCACTATAATTTAATAATGGTAACATTTTTTTTTTATTCAATATTTAGGCCACCATAAAAGGCAATGACAGATTCTCAGTAAGTACTCATAGAATAGAAACTGCTGGCTATGGAGTGGAAGGAAAGGCTTTGTGACTGGACAAAAATTTAAGTCCTCTGTGCCAGCCACACTATTAGTCAGCATATCTCAGAAATTATAACACCTAGAGAAGGACCTCTATGCTAGTATTTTATTTTATTTTATTTTATTTTATTTTATTTTATTTTATTTTATTTTATTTTATTTTATTTTATTTTATTTTATTTTATTTTATTTTATTTTATTTTATTTTATCAGGAATTTCTCTAGAATTCCACTGTTTAATGAATATGTTCCCAGATAAATCTGATTTTCAGTTCATGAGATGTCCTCTCTGATACATGTAATATTCTCACTGAATTTTTAGTCTATGCAGTGAAAAGTCCTACAGGGTCATTAAATGATTTTAAAATCACATGGAAGCTGGGAACAGTAACAAACATTATCAACTTTAAATTCTTTTTGTTCACAAATGGGTATAAAAATGAAGTATGGATCAATTTGAAAATTTATTCTGAAATAAGGATAAAAATTGGTAGGGGGATGTGCAGGAAGGTGTAGAAGAAGTACTTTGTTCATGTGAAGAGAGGTAAAAAACAGAGGTCTTCTGCTCACTTTCCAAGCTTGGCAGTGGAGTGAGTCTATCTCTCTGTGTCTCTGTCTGTCTGTCTGTCTGTCTGTCTCTCTGTAGTGGATGGTGTCCCAACAGAGTGCCCAAGCTAGCCTGCTGTCAGTAAGTCCCAGGCAGATGATATTAGTAATTAGATATTAGGTATCAGATATTAGAATTAGATGATTTATTAACAAAATTCCATGTGAGTGGCTGCCCCACCAGCCAGGCAAAAGGGAGAGATCCATAACTACCTGCCTGGAAAGGCAATGCTTGCTCACTTGGACAAAAATCCTGCGAGTTAAACACAAGGGGCAGAATATTAATGTGCCTCAAGAACAATATTGGCACAGCAAATATCAATAAACAGATTTGGAAAGAAGCTAAAGATGAGACAAGCTTTCCAATAAACTTCAGTGAAGTATCCCAGAGTATCTACTCTTTTCAAGGTGATGTTTGCCATATTTATGTATGGGATTACACAAAGTCTCTGACAATGGCAAACCAGACAAGATGCTGTCTAGTAGACACTGTGAGACCTGCAGAGAACCCTTCTAGCAAAGGACTGATAGTGAATATAATGAGGGACTTGCTAGAATTAATTTTCATTAGACTATATAATAGTACCAGATTTAAGTGGGGAAATGCATTTGCTTATTACATTGAAAATGCAGCTGGATAAAGCGGTTCTGGGAGTTATCTACTGGATATATCAGAGTATAAAAATGTATTGGATACATTGGAGTAATCCATTTTTCAAGATGGATTTCTGATCAAATAAAATTTCTTCAGCTGGAAAAAGTTGCTCCTTTGAATTTCACATCAATCTCTATTTTTAATGTGTGTTTTTTCTGCCTTGTCTGTCCTTTGTGTCTTGATTACAACACAGTTCCCCAGACCTTGCCAAAATGAACTGTTAATCAGTTTCTTTCTTCTTTTTTTTGGCATGCATCCCTTCAGGTCAAAGGCTAAACTTGCTGAAATCTTATTGAGGAATGAGTTGATGGAAGAGAGGGATTAATTTTTCCATGCATCAAGAACCTTAAAATCTGACACAGATATGAGTTGGTATAATTGTAGAAATATAAACTGTATGCCATTTTATTCTGATAGTTCTTAATAGAAAATTAATGTAAAGAGATTAGATTTAGTATAGCATTTTGGTGACTATGACACAAATTATGCATAAGTACTGATGTGGGATTCTGTTATGAAAAAGAAGGGGTAACATCAGAAGAGTGATATCGCTTTAGGTGCTGCCTGTTAAAAAAGAAAATAATAATGTGTTAAATAGGATTTATGAAAATCAGATTATGAGGCTTTCAAGTTAGGCAGTTTTCCAGAGGTTCAAAAAATAATGTCCCTCTTTATATCAAAGTAATCAGCTTTTGCACTTACAGAGAGTCCATTTACTGACTCTTGTAGGAAAGAGTTGTTTTGCTTCTCAACTCAGCTAATTACTTTAAAGGAATAGATTAGCATGAAATAATCATTCTAATACCTACTACGTTGCTCGAGCTTTGATAGACATGCAAACTATCCATTAATAGGGAGCAAAATATATATCATAGCATTAAAACTTCTTTTTGACATCTCTGAAAAAATAAAACAATGGTAACAATGTAAAACTGTTTGAGGTCCTGATGAAACTTAAGTATAATTTCAAATAGATAGCTATGAATTGAAGATTATAATCTTTCATAGTCAAGGGTTAGCTATAAAAAGATGATAAGATAATGATAAGATATAATAAGATATCAGCATCTCTACATATTGGCATATGCCTCGGAGCAGAATCCTGATCTCTGAATTAAGTGTCCAGGACACTTTACACCAAGAGAATCAGGAGAGGTTGATTCTGGAAAATGGTGCTCCACAAATCTCATAGTCTGAGAGGGAAGCCTCTGAAAGTAAAGCACTGGGAAATGTCAGCTATAGCCGAAATCTTGCCTGTCACAACAGAGGCCAAACTAAAGCAAAATTCCTGACGGGGATCCTAAGCTTTGCTTTCTCACACCCTATTTTCATTCTTTACTCTTCAGGGCTGTTTCAACCAGAAACAGGGGTAGAAAGCAATAGTTCTGAGGCTCTAACCCCAAGGCAGAATAACACCTGGTTTAGACACCATCTTGGAGATGTCAGCATTCTGCTGGAGAAGGCCTGCAGCAACTAGACCTAGCTTGAACATCAGTGCTGTTTTGAACTGGAGATCCAATTAGATGTCTTCTGCAGGTCCTTTTCAACTTAAATTACCATTTGCTTCTCTGACCCTGGGGAAGAATGTAGAAGCTCTGGAACAGCTTATTTCAGTTCTACTCAGAATAAAGTTAACGTCCTAAGTCAATCATTTATACAGAAAAAAAAAAAAAATAAAGAAGAATTCAGAGGTAGTCTCAGGCTTCTCAAAAGGAAGAAGAAGAGAATGGAGGAAGGAAACATCTTTGCAATCAGAATCTGATCAGATTTGGGGGTGGAGGAGTGAAGGTGATGACTTTGCTCTGGGGAGGAGCTTCTCTCACTTCTCCCAGAGCTGCTGCCAGGGCACATATGCCAATTGATCCTTCAGCTATGGTAAGAGCTTGGTTTTCCAGGACCCCAAATATCTACTCTTCGCCATGCGTAGTTTGTATAGCCATAACCTCCACCTTTGCTAAGAGCTGGCCACATTAAAACTAAGTCCACCCCAAAAATCAGCTTAAGATCTATTTGCCTTTATTGATGCTGGGTCAAGATAAAGAAAGTGTGCAAATCCACTCACTAAAACACAGAGGGAAAGGATGCCTATAAGACCAGAATCTGAGTTGTCCTACAAATGAAGTTAAATCCAGGAAAGGAGAGAAGTACATGCTTATCCTACTCTGTCGTAATGCAACTCAATCCAAACTCTGTGAGAATGAGACAAAGCAAGAATTCTTCTCCAGGGTGGCTTGTGTTGACACCTTCCTACTGGTCAGTCTAGGCTTGTTCTGAGATCCCTGTCTGAGAATAACCTCTGTGAGGACTGCAACACTGTTTTTTTAGATCTTAGCCCAATACCTTTGACTGCAGCCTAAATCCTGAATTCTCTCACCTTGAGCTGCTACAGCAGTGGATCAAGTCTAATTTTTTAGTTCAAATAAAAAACTTTTCATTACTGAGAGCAAGCAAAAAGATGTCTATTGTGTCCA